TTCTTTTTCTAAAAATTCTGAAAAAGGATTCTTTTTGCACCTAAAAATAAATTCAGAATTGATGACATAAAGTGATGAATAGACGAATGAATTGTTTTGGACTCCGTGTGCTATCTGGGTAATGCATTCGGATATTTTGCCGTACATACTTTGTATGTCTGATTGTCGAAAGCCTCTGGCATCAAGGATGGAAATCTCGCCTGGTACCTCTCTCCGAGATCGATCATTTCGTTCTCCCCTTCCAATGCCAATTTCATCATGTTCCCCTGGACGAACGACAGTTTCCATTTCTTAAGCAGAGCCGCGTCGTCGGCCGACAGACTTGTCGCTCCGTTCTCATAATTTCTTAGTATCACGTGCTGCAACTCGGGCAAGTCGTCTATCATACGAGGTATGTACTTCTTGCCTGGATATCGAGTTCCATGGCGAAAGATCAACCAAATCTTTTTCTCCACACAATCTGTAAATCAAGCAGTGATATAAGCGCACGTTATTAGCAGCTCCATGTATGCTCGCATGGAAGGTGATTAATGCATGGTAACGCGGTATGTGTATACCTGGATACTCCAACGGCGATTCATCGTAATTAGCTACGCATCTGTAAGGAGTGTTCGATCCCAGTCTACATTCGTAGCTGTCATTACGCTTGGAATGAACAGAAGCAAGAGAAATATCTGCTACGATGCAAAATATAAAAATCTCAGCAGATAGTTTCCAGAGCATTCTGTCAAGAGTCCTACAGTGTCACAACCATGTCACAGTCCACAAATACGTTCAACGTGTATATTACTCGTTTGGCTCAATTATTTGACACAATACATTCTAGTGTAATGATCATTTCTTTCTGTCTCTGCGGCAAAAGCATCTTGTAAGTGATAACTTCGTCATGACAGTGCTGTATACACCATGCAGCTGATGCAGTACACACATCGCACGTATATTTCACTCGAAGTACAGAAAGTACAATGTAGCTGAACTTTTCGTATCGTTCATCTTTTTTCTACCCAATGTCTGATCATACGTCGCAACCGCCAATGCGCAGATGTGAACAGCGATAGCGACATTCGTGCAGGTTAGGATTACAGAATACATTCGAGAGTGAGGCTATCATGGTTTACTTCGAAAAACCGTTTTAACAGAGCTAAATTTAGTGCTACAAATATATGGAAGTGATATGCGATTGAACGGTTGTGCAAACGGTTGTGTCATTTCCCAAATGTAATTGTAGGAAAAAGTAAGAATTGAGGTTTGCGTTCTAATATCTTAATAACATTTTTTTACAATACAAGCTATTACTAATATTTAACAATTCGTTACAGATATTTAAAAAAAAATACGTTTCCCGTGCTGAACGAGCCTGAACCGAAGTACTGATGAATTTAAATTTAATACGTCAACTGTTCAATAATTCTTCTATGTAGCTCAAGTGTCGTTAAAGGTAATTTTTTTTCTAAATTTTCTATATAAATTTGTTATTGATAAATTAATCATTAGCAAATTAATAAATCATTGTTACGTTAGCAAATTTATTAGTAGTTTGTACGTAGCTCGATACTTAAATAAACATATATTGACATTAGAATAGATTAATTTACAACTTTGGTGATTAGATGGGAAAGAAAAGAAATATTCAACCGCCACCAATAGTACCCGGACGGATAAAAGTAGAGATAAAAGACGAAATAGGTAACAAAAGATGCAAAGAAGCAAGTTATTGCAAGTTATGTTAATATATTAAATATTATTTTGTTTATACAGGAGACAATGATGTTCTCGTAGCGAGAGATCGTTTGAAGGGTGCTCTTCGAGAATTGTTACAGCATAGCGACACCGGCTCATCGGCGGAATCAGACGACAGTCCCATTTCGGATTACAAACATCCCATGAAAAAAATGTAAATTTCAACTTTCATAATTATATGGCATTGCCTATTTGAGACGAACTAATTTTTCAATAATTATGACATTTAGGACGAAATCTATGAATCTCTCTCAGCCACGGAAAGTCAGACGTCGCCGGCCCTTGCAACCTGACACAGCGTTTCATCATACATATGTGATGAAATTGTTCGATCGCAGTGTTGATTTAGCCCAATTTCAAGAAGACACACCATTGTATCCGATATGTCGTGCCTGGATGGCCAATCAACCAAGGAATCCTCATTTGGTCCCTAAGTGAGTAAAATTGTGACGATATTGTTTATTTTATTGATATATTCATATTTGCTTATTATATTAAAGTTTAAGGTGATTGTTTTATTTTAGAATATTTTATTATACTGTAGAATTTTTTGTGTTACGGCAGTTATAGTATTATTATATTTCCTAATTATACTGCAATATACTTTTTGCGTTTCTTCTTTTAAATTAAAAAAACCTGTAATAAAAAAAGATATGCTTATAGTGATTAATCGTGATTGAATTAAATCATTGTAGAAGTGCTTTTAATTTCTTTTCCTGTTGCACACAATTTTATATATCTATGCAAAACTAAAATAAATACATTAATTTGTGAATAGAGTACGTAGTCCAAGTCCAGAAATAATTAACGAGGTTAGCATGGCAGAAAATTTAATTGGTGCTGATGGTGAAATAAATGATGTCCATTACTTGCCACCTCCTTTGCCTCGTGTAGAAGCCATACCAAGGAATCGCATTCCATCCCCTATACTTGGAGAGAAAGATGATTTGAACTTAGATTACGTGAGTAATCAATAATTTCGACAGATGTGACATTTAATTTTATGTTGAAACAATTCGTGATTCGTGACTCCATGTAGAAGCAATTGATTTATAGTCGGCAGGTCTTAAGTTTAATCCCAACTTTCATCCTACATGTATACCACGGTTTATATAAGAAGCTCATTAAAGACTTGTTAAAACAATTCGTTGCTACTGTTATTGAAGTTTTACAAATAAGAAAGATGTATACTGTACACAATTTTTGTGTTAACTGTTATTGTAACAGATACAAATTGTATGTAACGTAATTACAGGAGGGACAAATTCTCAAAACGCGAGAGCAATTAATGAAGGAGCATTCTGAACGATGGAATGCTATACGCAAAAAATGGCATCAGCAAGCGCATAAAAACGAGCAACGTTATTCACAGAGTGCTAGTATACTTGGCACCATTTTTACAAAGTTTGTGTGAAAGATGTTGATATAGATTTTTCTTCGATAAATTATAATGCTTACGATTTTTTTAATTGTATTTCAGGGCACAATCGGAGTTTGAATAGCAGAAATGTGGCAGTCTAATGACTGCCGGTTCTTCCGTCGCCAATAATTCTGGTAATTTTTATTATCTCATCAGGGAATAACTTCTTATTTGCTATTTTTTTTTCTACATCTTCACATTGGTGAGTGAATGCGTATATGCAGAAGTGATTATACATGTCTTATATGAATGCATTTTTTTTATTGATAATGCCCAGAGAGGGGAAATCATGTTTTAACAATATTCTGATAATAAATTATCTAATGTAATACAAAAGAAAATTGTAATTATTTTTCTTTCAATAAAAATAATGGAACATAATTAATTTCTTCTTTTAAGTGCATAAATAATATTTTATATCAAATTCTATATATATATTAAATATATATAAATATATCTGATTCTCTATTAAAATATCAACAAAATAACATACAAAAATAAACTTTACTTATCTAAAATAATAAATAATATACTGTTAATCTTTGCACTAATTTTACATCATTTTATTTTTTATGAAAAATTTTGGAAGGAGGGCTGAATATTTATAAATGCTTCTTATATATTCCTAATAGTTCATTACATGCCATTGCATTAAAATACTATATAGAATTATGTTATTGTAGATATGAAGAGATCTTTTTTTTTTTTTTGTAAAAATGTTTGATTTGATTAAAGGTTCTGGTTATCTTTCTGTTTCATCCTAATTGCAATCGTTAATATGCACTTATAAATTTATAGAAGTAGAGACCAAGGAGAAAGGACCAGACGAATAATTTTTGAAGGCTTGAGAATTACATGCCATTTATTCTAGATATCAACAGTCGTAACTTACATTATTTACTTTCAATTAATAGGATTTACACAAACACTATTTGATTGTTTGTCGATTGTGACTGCATCTTTTTTTAAAGAGCTGTAATTTTCAAGACTTCGTTACATGCTTGCTGATATTTCTATAGTATTGAAGAATTTCGTCTCATATAAAATGTAGCTAAGAAATAAATAACGTAATTTAAATTATTCATTTGCTTAACTACTACTATACTATTTCCATCTTTTGACTTGCGTTAACTACATACTTCAATAACAACTGTTCATCTTAAGCAACATTATTACTCCGTAATGCACTTTGCAATCTATGAAATGTAGGAAATGATTTTTCGTACGGTCTCGTTTCTTGACGAGACTGCGAAAGTTTTCACTTTTCTGGAAGTATACTGTGTAGTAAATTTGTTTTTTTTTTTTTATCACTATTACACTTTGGAAGTTTACTTGTCCGTCAAAGATAGTTCCAGCACGTGACGAAACGTTTCTTCTTCCAACAACCGTTGTTGCTCCTCTTCTATTTGTTGCTGCTCGGAAAGCTTCAACGCTAGTCTCAATTGTTCTGCAGTGTCTTCGAGAGAATCGCTATCTTCGTTTTCATTTATACCCGTTGAATTCGCAGTGCCTTCCATCGATCCAGCTGTCTCTTGATATAGCACTAAACTAGCCTGAATCGCCCTACGTTGAAAAAGAAAAATTATTTGAGCGATATGACAAATATATTGACAAATTTAATTTATATTAACAACACACATTTATCTCGACAACACTTTCTAAAGCATTTTAAATACGCTTTTTATCATACTTTATAATGTAAACATTGAATGTTTATATTAATTTAAATTAAGTAATTTCTACTGTGTGAATAATTAACCCGAAATTGATATTTGCATTAGAATTACCCACCTGTCTGAACATAAATTGTGTGTAGCACAAAAATACATGCAAAATTAATAATAAAATTTTATCAATGATAAAATTAACTGAAAACAGAACATCGATAACATTCTCTTTAATGTTTATCACATACCTCTGAAGCTGCCTTTCTTCTTCGGTGGTCATATTAGGTGTAGTTGGCCTAGATGGTTTTTGCGCTCTTAGTGCTTCCCATATATCAACCTGTGTAAAACATTTTTCATGTAAAACAAAGGGGAATATACACTATACATGTAATATATGATATTTCGATAAAAACAAAATATAAAGAAAAAAGGCAATACCTCATCTCGTTCACTACCAGCTTCTAAGAGACTTTGCTGGATAGCAAACTGCAGTAAATCGTCCTCTTCTTCAATACTGAATTGTGTCCTAACTTCCGCACCTACATTCAACCAACGTGGATTAAACAAATTGTATATATTCGTTGTAGAATATACATATATGCGTGTATATAGGACAAAAAGTTTACCTAATTTGGTATATCCACTAGGTGTTTCGAAACAAATATCGTCCACTAAGCAAGTTACACGATTAGTTTCTTGTAAATGATCTACATGCGGTACCTCTTGATCTAAGCCAAATATATTTCCAAATGTTATTCTCGCATTAAGAATGTGGAACAATGGGATTTCTACGAAAGAATCGATTATTTTAGCATGTTTTGTATGCAATATGTATAGACATTTCAGATCGAAACATATTATATTGAAATTAACATCTTACCAATTTTAACAGGAAAACCAGCTGGAAGTTGCATTTGAATAAAATCTTTTAATTTTGCGAAATGTGAACTAGATATAGCCATCAAATCTACAATTGGCATGATTTGTTCTTGAAGACTTAATGGATAATCCTCACTTAACCATAAAGTTGCCTGAATGTGAAGAAATTGCCATAATTAGTATACAATATAATATATAATGCACAATTTTCAAGCAAAAAAATATATATAATACCTTAAATTTTTGTATTTTTGTATTCACTTCTTTTGGTCTACCTATATCTCTTCCATTTAAATCTACAGCTGGGTCAAAGTATTCCTCAGCAGTTATGTTAGAAGAATTGCCTACACTATTAAATTCTTCCTAAAATATATACACAGCTTGATTAGAATTATATTTTACATGCATTATCGATTAATTATAAAAAGGAAAATTACACTAGCAGCGACAGTGCTGCAACTCTCCTGCTGCTGTTCTGCAATGCCAAGAAATGACTGTAGAGGTGTTCTTGGTGCTCGAGCCCTTGCTTTATCTGCTTCAGATAAGTGCTCTAATCGGGTTTTAGTTATTAATTCTACATTGCTTGCGCTAAACACCTTGCACTCATGACCATTTATTACTTCGCTTTTATCAGAACGCCATCCCCATAGACCTGCTTTATTCCTAATTCAACATAAACAATATTGTTGAAATAAATACAAAGTATACATATAAATATGTCATTATTGTAAATATTACAGTGACAAATAGTTACCGTTCAAAACTAATTTTATCTGTATCTATATATGTTGTAACTATAGGATTAGTAAGTCGGGCTATCACACCTTCTTCAGATGGTTCTAATAGTTGTATATTATCATTTTCTATAAGTTTCATATGTTCAACATAAACTTTTCTCGTTTCATGATCCACTTCCATCATCGTTGCCCCATCATCTACAAAAATGTCAAAGTTTATAAACTGTTTATTATACTGAATTATTTCAATAAAAAGCTGATATTATATCATATTATATGTACATTAGATAACTATTATATATACATTTATTATACATATTTGTGTATAATATAAAAATAATATCTTGTCTCATATTGTTTAGTTGTCAATTTATTCAGTTTTATATAAATTAACGGGAACAAATAATGAAAAAGAGAAAACTATGAGAAATCAGAATATAATAAAAAGTATGTAGTATTAGTGTTAAGAAAATTCTTTTGTGCTTATGCATATGAAAATGTTTTTCATTAAATTTTTGACAATGCAATGCATGACATTAAATGTTGGGATTGTATCATCTGTGTGATGACCATCCAAACTGAACACATCTAATTGCCATAGGTGGTTTTGATGCAGCTTGCATTAACATATGAAATTTAGTAATAAACAAATAATTGACATTCCCAAAACATAATGATCAATTACAATTTTTAAAAAAATGTTAAGTTATACGATACTCATGCACGGACATTAACAGGATTAATATTTATTAAAGATATCTACTTACTTTGTCCTTTGAAGACATAGCTTCGATTACCACGTTGCCAATTTGCATGATCAAAGCCTAATAATGTAGTATCAATCCTCACATTACTACCTTGTTTATAAACCTTATATGTATCGCTTGGGCACATCCGAGATACAAGAGGAACTGGTCAACAGAAATAATAACAGTTAACCACATGTTTTATTCAAATAAATTAGATAAGTGTATAAATTGCAGTTAGATCCAAATTATATAAATTAAACTTGAAGATCTTGAAGATTATAAATAAAAGCAGATGTCATTGAATCCTCTGTTTCTTACCCCAACTTGTAAACTCCCATTTCATTTCTACATAAAAATCAGGCGCCTGAAAAGGATTTCTATTACTAGGACTCGGATTAATAATGAAGAGTATGAAAAAGTCTATATCATTAGCGTAATATTCCACACAAGAGAAACACACGGGTTAATATTAGTTCATAGAACTTGCAGGAAAGAATTTCATATTCAATAGAAGAGACTGCATATGTGAGAACTATGAATGTACTGAATTAATGATATATTATTAGTTATTACATAAAACTGACCTGTTTGAGTTTATGAAGTAGTTCTGGTATACCGGCCACCCGATTGCAATACCTCTGGTAATCTCTCCTAGCAAGTACCAATTGCAGTAATTCAGGATTTCCTGTACCAACTGCTTCTTGAACCACTACATCGAAATAAATTAAACTGATTGTTTAATTTATAATGAAACAAATGAAACTATCGAAAAGATAAACAGTCCAGACAGATCACAGGCGAACAAAGTACAAAGAGAAATTACCAGTCCATCCTTGAGTGTTCTCTGTATTAACATTGGCCTCATGTTGTAACAGCACTACAGCGGAATCTATATGGCCCAAGGTTACCGCTAACATCAATGGTGTCCTTCCTCGATTGTCATGCTTTTCTAGGTCATGCTAGAAAATATTTAAATATTACAATTTATATTAGCTAATTGTAAGACAATTGTTGTGGCAATATTGCATCTAGTTTCTCCTCTCAGCATATATTTACTTTGCATTTGTTATATAATTAAAATAGGATTTTAAGTGTATCCCTTATATGTATTATGAAGTATGTAGATTGGACTCTGCTTCAGCAGTATATCAGGAGCCGCAAATCCACATATCTAAGATACACACATGTATAAGGTTTCTCTCTTTTTTTATGAAAGGCTTCAGACGTTTTTAACCCGCATTACTACTATAAGCCCGAGTCAACTGTGCAAGCATAAATTTAAAGGTCTATATAATTAAGATATAATTTCATGGATAATATAGCATGCAAAGATTAAATCACATAAATTGCTTTCCAAATTATACTTAATAATGTCATCTGTACACTGCGTATTATAAATGTAAAGTTTTAACATATTTTTTAGAATTAATTTATAAATTCACATCAAGAAATAATTAGTTAATAGAAGAGATTCTTGTTTTGATGACACAAAACTGACAACATATTTTTATTATATCCTTTTACTTGTTTTTTCTATTTCATAAACAAGACTACTGTTATTAACAAAAGGAGAACATTAATTCTGTCATAATAATATTTGATCTCACATTTTTCTTTCTCTTTCCAACATGCATATCTATAGATTTTTTTATATAAATACTATCTGTCTCTCATTTATAAATATAGATGCTGCAATATAAAATCACTTTTAACCTTTTTGTTTCAAGCACTTTCATGTCTGTTGGTGAATGTTACTTTTGTTATATAATTTATCAGCTCTATACATATTTATCATTAAATGTATGCTACTGGCTGACTTGAGAGGCTTTTGTGTGTGAGTGGGGCATCTGATAAAAATGCTGAATCATAATAATTATAACAAAAAAAATCAGTACAAAAAAAAGGATGCACTGAAAATACTTTGAAATGACAAACGCGTCACTGCCGCAGAACGAATGCACGTATATACAATACCGCGTTAATTGTCTACATCGAATAATTACGCAATTATCGTTCAATATTATATCAATTACGTGGAGAAGACTCGTTATCGCTGCTGATAGCAAAAAAGTTGTTAACACGTAATACCTGGAGGACGAAATTCGCGGAGCGAAAAAACGGCAAATAAAACGCACAATTGGCGTGTAATCACGTGTACGTGTCCCGTGTGCGGCGTAAACGGCGGAAGTTAATTAATATCAAATGAGATGAGCCTGTTAAACAGCAGGTCTGCGCAAACCTGATTTGTGGACAGTTCCTTGTCGAGTTCTACATGGCTGTTATGCCAGACAAGCCAGTGCAGTGGATAATTCTTTCGTATAGTATCTACATTCACCATCTCTACCGGGTCTGATTGACGTTAACATATAACACGTTTATCGTAACGAGTACCACGAGTCGAACGCACGACACGAAATTTTGACAGCGCGATACATGACATCAGACGAAAGAAGTACCATCGAGTATACGCAACGCGACAGTGGGGAAACTGCCTGTCTTGCGTATGCGTCATCCCGTCCTCCAGGAGGGAGAAATCCATGCTCGTTTTCTGATTGGTGCCGCCATTTTGGAGCCAATTCAAAGAGACCATTTTAATCCAATGTTGGCAATCTAAAAAAAAAATATAAAAATCCCTAAACGTATAAAATTTAAAAATATTTTCTTATTATATATTTATTATATTGTCTTATATGTTATCTATTACATATTTGTATTATTTATATATCTTTAATATATAATATTAAATGTATGTTAAACTATTTCTGAGACATATTAGAAAAATTAATTATAAAATATTAATATAATTATAATTGTTTTATTATAAATATTATAATTAATTAATCATTGTCAAAATTATTTATAAGCACTAAAATAGTTTGATAATTGCCTGTGATAAAATAATTTAAATTCTCATTTCTCACAATAGTGATTCATGAATCAATAATCTGTTTATAAAAAATCTGCTTAAAAGGATCTAAAATAATATGCAGTGTCAAGTAATTTAATTAATAGGATTGAAAAATATTCAAAATTGTTTCAAATATAGGAAAATAAAAATAACAAGTGAATGTACAGAAGAATTTGTAATAACATATATTCTATACGTATGTAGCATTTATACATAATCGTATCGATATAGTTTTATGTGTGTGTGTATAATATATATAATAATTAGTAAAATATAAGGTTCAATAAAATATTAATTATATGTCTGTTATTATTATCTCTCTTCATCATCGTCATCGCGTCATCGTCGTTGTCGTCATCGTCGTCGTCAACAATATATATTTAACTACTTTACTGTCCACTACGCCCTAGGTTGATATATTTATACTTTTAATATGCATATTTGTAGCAATAATGATTTCAGGCTTATACAGTAATTCGATTAGCGCTCTGATAGTTTGCAATTTCTTATTTGTCATTAAATATCGATATCTATTTGTTTACAGAAAAACGAGAGTTTTTTTACAGCCGATTACTCGCCTTTGCGTTTCAAAGAGATAGAATTAATGCTCGAGTCAAGATTCTCGTTAATCGTGAATTAAATTAATGAGAATAAAAGCATAATATCGAGTTAATTTTTTCAAGTACCTAATATAATATCAACCGTCAACAAATCTCAAAACAAAAATCAATCTCAGAAAGAAAATTCATAATTTTAAATATTTTTATAATATAATATATTCTCCTTTATTTCTGAGTCGTATAACTATGTTAACTTTCTAAACGCATATTTCCTTAAACGCACGACACTCTTGGACATTCAATTCATCCCGTCTTAATCCTTTCTCGTTAAAATCTTTCCTTTCTTTTCACTTTATATTAATTCATCGCGACATTTTTCTTGCGCTAAGCGAGACGTCAAAGCTGCTGTTAATCCGTCCAATAATTATTTCTTAAAGCGATTAGGAATGGGCGTCATTATGCAGTTTACAGAGAATCGCAGAAGCAAGATATATGTGTGATGACATTACATCTTGTATAACTTTTCAATCTATAGATGTATATTACATGTTCTTTTAATTTTTAATGTGACTGACTGTTTTTTTTTTTTTCTAAATCTCTCTTTACAAACAACACAAAAGTTTAAAAGGTGTCGTAAAGACGCCTAAAAAGCTATTGACATTTTTACCGTGTAAACTTTTGTATTGTTTCGATTGACATATAGATGCATGTGTAAGGCAGTACATATTTGCATAAAGAATAAGCTTTTGCGTGAATCACATGCGCTGATGTTACACATCGGATATCAACAGAAACTTAAGGAAAACGCTCGGTGTGTGTGTGTGTGTGTGTATGTGTGTATGTGTGAAAAACTAAAAATATTGTACTTATGATATACATTTAAAAAATAACGTACATGACAAATATGAGTTTCCTTCTTTAATGAAGAATATGACGTACATATATTAAGTAAAATAATATTTTTACTCAGAATGACGGCAATGTTTGCGTCGGCCAACGACACGAAAAAAAAAATAAATTTTCAATGCACATTAAGCTTTATTACACGCGTCGTTAACCCTCTCATGCATTTGGTCCTAGCATAAACGGACAAATCCACTTCACGTGACAATTAAAAACGACAGTTATATATATTGCTCTTTTGAATAGCGTGTATCCTCATTTGAGATCTCTGAATTATATCCTCGAAATACCGGGAATCGCAAAATCGGTAGTATAGAGTCTATTGCTTTGTTCATTCCTACAAAATTTCGAACTATACAGCTATGAAATATTCTGCAGCACGCTTCTTCAATTATTCACGCGCTAGTCTACAAAAAGTAAGCGTCTCTATTTTGTACAAATATAGAACATTTGGCATGTACGAGTAGAAAATTTGATCGTGTTTTGTGTTTTAAAAAAGATCCTTGAATTATCGTTATATGTATATTGACCTCAAATAGGGAGATTATCTTATATTTTCACAAGCGCAGTAATGTCTGAAATTTAAATGAAAAGTGGATATTTAAAGATACACTTAAGATATCGCGAGTAATAAGTCGCGAATATCTATTATAAATTCTTCCTTTTTCGCGAAAGAGAATGATCGGTGCATGAGAAAGTTCAACGAGATTCGACGATTCGCGATATGTTTAAGGACTTTGTGTCCCGACGTGTGATCTTGGCGTTTCATCCTGCGTGAATTTTGCATGGAAATCATGATAATTCTACATATTCTACGCAAAAAGTGTGTGACACGGGATGTACGGGAGCGGGAATGTCGGTTGCAAGAGTCGCAAGAGAATTCGGTTTTTTCGCGTCGATTTCGCTTCCACCGTAGCGGCAAATCTCGCCGCTGACGGCGGTGGCCAGGAGACGGTCGGATTCAAATACTCGTGCTGACCTTCGCATAGATTTTATTACGAAAAAGTTTTTTTTGCGATAATGATTCTTATAGCATATAGACAAAGGGACAATTTCTCCGGAAAAATACAAAGTATATATCTTCTTTTCTTTCTTTTGCTCGAGTTTCGAACGAAACTATAATCGTCATCTATAAGTCCAGAATATTCGCCCGCCTCCGAGACGAGCGGACGAGAAAGCCGTCCTTTTTTTGTGTATATGTGCTCATTGGAAATCTTAGACGCTCGTCGCCGAAAGTTGGACCACAAGACTCAGCAAACTGATCGTCGGCAAATAAAGAGTGTGAGCAAATTTAACGTTTCATCGGCGGCAAATATTCTATTGTCACGATACGAGTATGCGTAGTGGAGGCATAAAGTGCTACCAGCGACGTAACTTGTAATTTTCGCAAAAGATATAACAATTGCGCTGAGGAAAATTGGACGCGAGATTCGTACCGCAAGATATAAGACTCCCGATTCGCGAAATTCCAGTGTTGTACTCTAAAGTCTAAAGAAATTTTTTTTTCAAGTCTTTTTATCTGTTCTTTTATCGCTTTGAACATGTAAATGCGCTGCTTTGTATCCTTCGCTCCAAATCAGATTCTTTTTAGAATTTTGGAAGATTATATCGATCTCCCCTTTCGAAATCATTTCGAAATCGATGTTGTAAATTTGCTATAAAGGAAAGATCGGAAGTTCGTTTGCGCGACACGAATCTCTGCAAATTTTCCGTGTCATGATCCTAAAAATTAATAGTTATTAATTAATTAATTAATAACCATTAATCCGCGCGTGTGCTGCGCGTATTGCGGCGAGGCGTACATATACGCACTCAAATATATATATATATATATATATATATATATAATATATTTTATATATATATATATGCATGTGTACGGCGAAAAAAATATCAAATCTGGGGTTTCTCTAAGGTTGCGCGATCACTTTACACCGCAATACACTACTTTGCGTTTATATACACGGATTTCACGCCTTTAGCTGTGTGTACATACGTTTTCTCTATTTTTCAGTAAACGGCGGTGCGATTATGCGGTTCCCCGGCCCTACGGCCGGCTACGGTGATAACCTACGCTATACCGGCTTAAATCTTAAACGCGCCGGAGAATGCCAGTTTTATTTTCCGCAGAAGGCAATTTACAGCGTTTTACAATCTTCTTCCTTTTTTTTTCTACTTTTATTTTTCCCTACACGGTATTTCGGTTAACATGCTGAGAGACGCTACTTAGGTTCTTAAACGAAACGACGGCATTTAAGTCCGTCGCGAGACAGACGCTAGCTTGCAAGGGACAGGCATTTTGGAACGACTCCTCCTAAATTAGGACTCCGCTCGACGTCGGAGTCCGTCTTTCTCGACGCTACACGACAAACACGATTCTATCCTTCCGTAGTCGAGTCAGCGCGCGCACGCAATTCGCACGCAATGCGAATGCACGAGAGTTATCGCTCGTCGTATAATAACGCGGCGTCCGGGTTGCGCTTCGTTGACGCGCCCCGCGCGCGCGTCGATTACCGTGCGCGCACGACTCGCAAAACAGACGACGCTCAACAGGGACAGGAAAATTTCGAACGAACGGATAAAATACAAAGATTTCGGCAGTACAGTGATCTCCCGTGAACGGGCATCGCCGTTGTAAAAGCACGGTCGCGATGCCGCGGTTCACGCCCCCGAGGAGCGGCGCGCCTCGGGACGCGTTTGATTTCAGTATAGCGAGACCCAACATCTGCAAGATATGCATTTGACGAGTGGCGAACGATCTCGGCTGCGCCCGCGTGCCTTTTGTGTGGTTGCGCGCCTCCTCTTGTAAATTGCATATAGAAATCGTCTACGAAAGATTTTGCAATCTGCGAACCGCGATTCGCACGGCGAATTTCGCCGTTTAGACTACGCGCACAGGGATATAGATCCCGGGCAGACGCCCCATATATATAGGATGATCGGACATTACAATAGAGCTAACGCTTGGCCGATCTACGGCGGTTAATCATATTGGCCAGGAATCTGTCATACAATACTGGGCTATTACCGGGCGAATAATCGAATGTCTATATTTACTTTCGTGATAACACGGCGTACGATAATGGATCAGTGTTATAGCCAATGTAATATTATAGTGGGCCATA